CTTAAAAAAAATGATAACGTTGTAAATATTTTGTAGGGTGTCAGATGGTCACATGTCTTGTTAGGGAGATCACTTCATGGACGACGGTGTAGAGGCTTGACCACTGCACACTGTACACCTGAAGCTGATGCCGAATAATATTGTATGTCAACTATAATTTTATATATATATATATAGTCACAGGATGCAGAGTATAGTGTGGGGAGTGGACTCAATGGAATTGTAATAGACATGTATGATGTTGGGGTGGGGGAGTGGGGCGGCGGATTGGGGGAGGGGGTTGTCACTTTGTGAGGGGTAAAAAAATAATAAAATAAAAATTAATGAATTAATTAATTTTTAAAAAGAAGAAATAGAAAAAATTTATGGGATGCAGTAAAAAGAGTGCTTAGAGAAAATTTTATACCATTGAATACATATATTAGAACAGTAAGAAAATATAAAACCAGTACTCTAAGCTTCCATTTTAGGAAACTATAAAAGAATAAATTAAATCCAAAGTAAGCAGAAGAAACTACACAATAAAAGTGAAAACAAACACCAATGAAATTAAAAACAGGAAAACCACAGAGAAAGTCAATGAAAACAAAGTTTGTTTTTTGAAAATACAAAGAATAAATAACTCTTTAGTCTGGATAACCAAGACAAAAGGAAAGAAGACATAAATACTATCAGAAGTGAAAGAGAAGTTATAAAATGAGTTATCTCTAATGACCCCCACGGACATTAAAAAATAATAAAAGAATATTATGAACAACTCTATGCCCACAAATATGATTACTTGCATAAAATGAACCAATTCTTCAAAGATACAATCTACCAAAACTCACGCAAAGAAAAACAGATCACCTAAATAGGTTTGAGTCAATAATTAATAACCTTCCAAAACAGAAAACACCAGGCTCAGATGGTTTCCCTGGTGAATTCTACCAAATTTTTAAGCAATAAATGGTATAAATTCGCTACAATCTCTTCCAGAAAATGGAAGCAGAATAGTTCCTAACTCATACTATGAGGCCAGCATTATCCTCATACCAACACCAGACAAACACAAAAGGAAAACTACAGACAAATATCTCTCATACACATAGATGTAAAAATCTTCAACAAAATGTTAGCAAATTGAATCCAACAATGTATAAAAATAATCAGAGACCATGCAGCCAAGTGAAACTTATTTCAAGTATGCAAGGCTGGTCCAACATTTGAAAATCAATTACTGTATTCCATCACATCAACAGACAAAAGAAGAAACATCATATAATCATATAAAAGATACAGTAAAAAGCATTTGAAAAAATACAACACACATTCATAATAAAAATTCTCAGCAAACTGAGAACAGGGTGGAACTTCAACTTAAAGAATATTTACAAAACAAACAGTTAACATCATACTTAATGGCAAGAGACTGGGTGATTTTCCTGTAGACTGGGAACACGGTAAGGATGTCCTCTTTTATTATTCCTATTCAATATCTTGCTGAAAGTCCTAGCTAATGCAAAAAGAAAAGGTATATATGGATTGAGAATGAAGAAATAAAACTGTTTTTGTTCATAGTTGATATGATTGTCTACATAGAAAGAAACCAAGGAATTGTCAAAAGAAACTCCTGGAACTAATAAGTACTTACAGTTAGGTGGAAGGATACAGGATTAATATACAAAAGTCAGTTGCTTTCCTATAATCTAGCAACGAGTAATTGCAATTTGAAACTTAAAACACCATTTACATTAGAATAAAAAAAAGAATAGCTAGGTATAAATCTAACAAAATATGTATAAGATCTATATGAGAAAAACTATAGAACTCTGAAGAAAGGAATCAAAGATCTAAATAAACGGAAAGATATTTCATGCTCATGGATAGGAAAACTCAATACTAAGATGCCAGATCTTCCCATCTTGATCTATAGATTCAATACAATCCCAATCAAAACACCAGCAAGCTACTTTGTGAATATCAACACTGATTCTAAAGTTTATGTGGGGTGGCAAAAGATCCAGAACAGCTAACACAATATTGAAGAAATAACAAAGTTAGAATACTGACACTACTTAATATTTAAGTCTTACTATAAAGTTACAGTAATTAAGACAGTGTGTTATTGGTAAGAGAAGAAACAAATAAATCAATAGAACAGAATTGAGAACTGAGAATAGACACACACACACACACACACACACACACAAACACACAAATATAGTTTGATGTTTGACAAAAGACACTCCAATGGAGAAAGCATAGTCTTTTTTTTTTTTTTTTTTTTTTAGCTGAGCCATCCTGCTACCTGTTGGCAGCTCAGCGGCTGCTCAGCTCAGGCTGGACTCGAAAAGCATAGTCTTTTTAACAAATGATGCTAGAACAACTAGACATCCGCATGCAGAAATGAATCTAGACCTTACACCTTCGCCAAAATTAACTCAAAATGGAATACAGACCTAAAAATATAAACAAAACTGCAAAACTTCTTGACTATAACATGGGAGAAAATGTAGGTGGCTTTGGGTTTGGCAATGAGTTATTAGATACAACACCAAAAGTATAATACATGGAAACAAATTGATAAGTTGAAATTCATTAAAATTCAAACCTTCTACTCTGTAACAGGTACTGTTAAAGGAATAAAAATGCAAGCTATATAATATGCCCACTATACAAGGATAGGAATTAAATGATATTTTGCTTTTTATTCACTGCTGATAAAATCAATCTACTCTGATTTTTAAATTGTTACTAATCTTTTTAGAGGCAGCAGTGTGATTGAATATGTTTCATTATTTTGCAGAATCTTGGTTCAAAACTGATATAATTTGAAAGTGTCTCAGTTATATATTATTGAATACTAAGCAAAACTTAGTGGCTTGAAACAAATGTTTCATTATTTTTCACAATTCTGTCCATTGATTGGTACTCAGCTGGATGATTCTTCACTTAAATGTCACTCTTTAAACACAAAATTACATAAAATCTATTATACACAATCTTGATTTAATGGTACTTTAAGGAAAATTTTAAAAAATAGGCTCTGAACCACATTCATAAATGTAATGTGCAGGGAGGAGAAAAGTTCCAGCACTGACTAATATCACCATTCTATTTCACTCCATTTTAAGCATACCGTCTATTCTGACAATCAAAGGCATTTAATAATGTAATTCTTGCCTTCCCTACATTCCACCCCCATATGATTGAAATAATAATGGGAAAAGCTCATTGTAAATAAAGTTTCCCCAGAAGTGTTATGTAAGTTTCTCTCTGGGAAATAAACTGGTAAATTCTATATACAATAAAAATGATCAGACCTGTATAAAAATAACTACACTTTAGATATTGTCGGGAAATGAGTGGCAAATGTAATTACTCAGTTGTATCAGGAAAAGTTAGGGTATGATTTCAGGTCATATTGGGATAGCCATGGTGAGATAATTAGCTCTATCATGATCAATTATAACTACTACACTAAAGCAATGAATTACAGGCTTTATTGTAAATATGACATATTCTATATTATTGTAAAAAGAAAATAATCTGTAAGAACTTTAGTAAAAAGGGGAATACAAATACACCAGAGGCCATTTTGAGTGGCAAACCATACATAGAAACCATAAAACTTAACCAAAGAAAAAAATGTATCAAAATACCCGATGAATATAAATCTATGTCAACTCACCAGGATTAACCTAAAAATAAAAGGCCAAAGTGAGAGAAAACAAGCATTTGAGATCCAAAAGCTATGATTCAGGCAGAAACCCAAATAGTGTTCCAACTATAAGTTAAAGACAAGGTGTATTTATGAGAACGGTATGGGGAACAATTACATGAATAGAAGGAAGGGATTTCTTTCTTTCTTTTTTTGTTTTTTTACTAGGGCAGGCTGAGTGTTTTTATTTTGATTTTGATTTTCTTCCCTGGGTTATATCTCTGACAAGGAAAAGGAAATCCTTTTCCCCTAGTAATTACTCAGAAATAACATTACTTAATATGTTTAATTTTTTTTTAAATTTACTACAAAGAATTACATATTACATTCTTGTTCATGAAATTTCAAACAACATGAAGTATATAGAGGGAAAAAGACCCGTTCACCTCCCACCCCACAGCAACTTCCAATCCTGGTCCTTTGAGGGTTGCAGGCATAGCCTTCCTTATCTTTTTCTACGCATTTACATGTATAACTTATTTTCCTAAATGCATAATTCGCATCTTGTTTTTTTAAAAAATGGATTGTATTCTATATGCCATTTTGCATTTTTACTTATTTTAATAGTAACAATATTAGAGAACGTCTCACTTTAATAAACATAGGTCTTCCACATTCTTTTTAACAACTGCATACTATTCCATGGAATTGGAAGGGACTTCTACAGGTGCAGATAGACTAACATAGTTATGCTAATTCTGAAGAATGTCTTTAATTTTCATTCAGGTAGTCATCATATCAGCTTTATTTGTTATCCTGCAAACAGTTGTTTGGGATACAATGCTGCTTCAGGTCCAGTTCAAAGGTTATTTTGCCAAGTTTTAACATCCCAAAGGAGGAGTAAGATATGCAAGCCAGTTCCTCTGGGAGTGGCAGCTCTAACTCCATTTTCTTTCTCTTTTTTTTTAGCTGAGCCATCCTGCCACCTGTTGGTAGCTCAGCGGCAGCTCAGCTTGGGCCATGAATCGAACCGGGGACCCTGTTGCTCAGAGCTCACACTCTTTACCAACTGAGCCACTCGGCCAGCCCCCAACTCCATTTTTAAATTGGCTCTGTTAATATTCTTTTTCACACCAGTAATAACTACTAATTCTAAATATCCAATGCTCAATCTCTGGTTATCCTATGCTTATACTCTGATGTTAAATGACAATCAAGACCAAATAGAGAATGTTAAGAACCCCAAGAGCCTACTGGACCAAAGCTGGAGCTCCTCTTATATTGAGGTATATTATATTCCAATTGCTACATAATATGTTCAGTGAAAATAATAAATCTCTCTGAGAAAAATGGAATGTAATATTCAGTATTCTTTTATTTTGCCCAACCCATAAAGAGAAAAATCCAGATAGATGGAGGAACCACATCACATCACTACATCAGTATCTAACCCCTTAGCAATGAGACAAAAAATGGGAGAGGAGGTCATGCCTCCTCCATTTGTCTGCAAATAGACTCTCCAGTATGTGTCAGCACATGGAAAATGCTCGGTATATGTTCATTTTATTAATGAATAAATAAATGAATGTGTACACTGATTTTATCATAAGTGGACTAGGTGACAGCCTACTGTAAAATTCTATGGAAACCACTTATACAAGCTTACACATGAAATTTAAAAAGCAAATTAGCTATCTCTTTAATGGCAGACACCAATTCAACCACACGTTCATGGAGAAAGTTCCATTCATAAGTAGATCTTCATCATCTTGCAAATTGATTTGTGAGATTCATGACAAGGGATATCATTCAAGCCCCATGAGTGTGACCTAGGAGGACGAACATTCAGCATAGCACAACGGTCTTCAAGATCACTAGGTTCACCTTGGTGCCAGAATCTGAAAGCGGAAAAAAAGGATGAAGGTGTGTCTTCATATAGTGAGAAGGGTTAGAGACAGTAAGGGGGAAAGCTGGGGTTTAACTTTGTGAAAGTCAAGGCAGATATGCCCAAAATCATTCCTTCCCTATTCTCATGCAGTTTTTTTCTCCATCTGTGTCTCTGGCATTTCCCTTGAAACCTGTGCCTACATCACCCAGTACTGTGTCACCTTATTGCATTAAACACTTTCCCAGTAGATATTCCAGAGTATCCCTTCTATTTGTCCATCTATATGCCCTGTTCCTAGGGTACTGTCACTTTATAGGCTCCTTTAAATGATGACAAGGTTTCACCCTGGTCCCAAGTATCAATATAGTTTGTTTCCTTTTTCTTTAATGTACTGCTTTTGGAGTCTAAAGAAGTAGCTAAAATCTCTGAATCTGTTACTATTCTTGTTATCTTAGATAAGTATTTAAATTCCCCTCATTTACATATCTAAAAAACAAAGAATAAGGTAGTATCCCTATATATTTCACCTAAGGACCAAAGGCAGTAGTATATTAAAATGTTCTAAAGTACTTGAGAGTTTTAAAATACCCTCATAAATATGAAATATTATAAAACTATCAGAATTTAGCTTAAGTGCTTTATGAGAGATATTAAACATTAACAATTGGTTATGATCATTATAGACATGAATATTTGTTATATTTAGAAATATAAATGTAGTAGTTAAAAGCACAGACTTTGGTATCAGACAGACCTGGTTTAAGGACCACTGTCGCCACCACTGGATAACACTCACTGAGTTATCTAAACTCTAAAGTCAGCTTCCTCACCTCTACAGTGAGAAAAATAATAACGTGTGCCTCATAGAATTCTTGGTGATTAAATTAGATAATAAGTAAAAGTATTTAACCTAGTGTCCAAGAGTTACAAGAAAAGTGAGCTATTTTATTTTAATACCTGATAGTTGAGACACCCTAAAATGCCTGATGATCCCAGACTTGGGATTCCTTCATCTAATTCTATACTCACGTGGCGCTTTGATTGTATGGTGTCTGATCAACCCATTGCCAGCGCCCTTTCCCCTCTGGATCTGAAAGCCCCACATAATAAGCATGGCCTGTTTCCAGGTTCTCAGTGATAAATTCCTGAGGGAAGAAAAGAAAGCAGTTATAGCCTTTAGAGTATTCACGTTGAATTGATTTCTTTATGGCTTTAGGGAGAAGAGAAGGAAAGGAGGAGATCCAGGAACAGACACATGGAGACGCTGCCCAGGATCCTAGGCCTTCTCTGGCTGTGCTGTGCAGGACCATGCGCAGACATCACTTGTGAGCGTGATGTTTGTCTTAATCTATTTGGGCTTCTATAACAAAATACCACAGATGGGGGAGCTTATAAATAAAAACAGAAATATATTTCTCACAGTTCTGGAGGCTGGAATCCCAGATCAGGGTACTAGCATGGTGGGATAAGTTCCTCTTCCTGATTCATAGCTGGCACCCCCTGGCTGTGTCCTCACATAGTGGAAGGGTGATGTAGCTGTTTGGGGTCTTTTTGATAAGAACACTAATCCAATTTATTGAGGGCCCCACCCTCATGACCTAAGCACCTCGTGAAGGCCCCACTTCCTAATACCATCAACTTTGGGAATTAAAATTTCAATATATGAATTTGGAGGGGACACAAACATTCAGAACATAGCATTGTTCGATACATATGGAAGCAATTTCTATCCAAGATAATAGTCAATTCTCATCTCAGAGTCACTTCCCTTCTTTTCTTCACTAAGAGATGATATGCTTCAAAGTTATGCAAGCCAAAACGTTTGCAGATTAAATCATTTTCCTTTCACAACCTCAGATTATTTTACTTCCTTTCTGATTGTCAATTGTGTCTTCCTGGTTGAACTTTATTTTCCCATTTGACCTAATACCCCTTCTCTGATAAACAGTAATTTATAAAACATTTATATGTTGCAGTAATAAACTGATATTTCAGGCTGAAATAATTTCATTCTTCCTTTCAACCCCCACATATTATATTTTAAATGTCCCCATTTATTTTGAGGGAGTTCAGTTTTATAGAAGCAGGAAAAAGGCATTGAATGGAAAGGCTTAAGTAATCTTTCCTATCTATCTTATTGAAAGCCTTTTGCCACAGCACCAATATCCCAAAACAAAGAAAAATGTTCTCCAAGAGGTGTACAAACCCCAGACAAAATTCCTGACTTCATTTTTTATTAGCAAGTACCATCTCATTCTTGGTGTTGATCACTAGCAGGTGAGCCTTCATTCCTGAGCAGTTCTTCTCACTCTCAGTCCAATTGTTGTCTTCCTTAGAAATAAAATAGCAATTCAAACTAAATGGCTTCCAATTCTTTGGGCAGCAGCTCCAGTCTTTCTCTGTATTGACATAAGGCCATAAAGGTACAATATAAGAAAAGTAATTTGCAAAGTGTGTGTTAAAATTAAGGAACAAGGAGGATCACATGGAAACTGGAGCCCCCATCATCCCCCAGAGGTAACAAGGAGCTCCCCCCCGCCCCCCATCAGGTGTCAAGGTCAAGGTCAAGTCTACCTACATCAGGCAATAACAAGCAGGGCCCTGTTTCCCTTGCCAGAGTGGTATCGGGAAAAGCCAGCTAAAACAGAAGGTTTAAATAAGATCCAGACGCTCAGAACATAATACAAAAATATTTAGGTTTCAGTGGAAAATCACTCATCATACCAAACACTACAATGTTCTCAAAATTAATTCTAAAAAAAAGAAAAGAAATACATGGCAATACCAATATAACAGAAATATTAGAATTATCTGACAAAGTTTTTTTTAATTCAAGTTTATTGGGCTGACAATGGTTAGTAAAGTTACATAGATTTCAGGTATACAGCTTTGTAATACATCATCTACATATCACTTTGTGTGCTCACTACCGAGTCAATTCTCCTTCCATCACCTTATATTTGATCCCGTTTACCCTCATCTACCACCTCCCTACCCACTTACCCTCTGGTAACACTAAAATATTGTCTGTGTCTATGAGTTTTTGTTTCTACATTTGTTCGTCTTGTTCCTTCGTTGTTTTCAGTTTTATATCCCACATATCAGTGAAATCAATGGTTTTTTACTTTTTCTGTCTGACTTATTTCACTTAGCATAATAATCTCAAGATCCATCCATATTGTCACAAATGGCACTGTTTCATCTTTTTTATGGCAGAGTAGTATTCCATTGTGTATATACACCACATCTTCTTTATCCAATCTTCTATTGAAGGGCACTTTGGTTGTTTCCATGTCTTGGCCACCATAAATAAAGCTTCAGTGAACATCGGAGCACATATATCTTTATGGATAAATGTTTCCAGATTTTTTGGGTAGATACCCAGGAGAGGGATTGCAGGGTCATATGGTAACTCTATTCTTAATTTTTTGAGGAACCTCCACACTGCCTTCCGTATCAGTTGCACCAATCTGCATTCCCACCAACAGTGTATGAGGGTTCCTTTTCTTCCACAGCCTCTCCAACACTTGCTATTACTTGTCTTGTTGATGATAGCCATTCTAACTGGTGTGAGGTGACATCTCATTATGGTTTTTATTTGCATTTCTTGGATGTGTAGTGATGTTGAGCATCTTTTCATATGTCTATTGGCCATCTGGGTATGTCCTCTTTGGATAAATGTCTGTTCATGTCCTCTGCCCTTTTTAATTGGATTGTTTGTTTTTTGTTGTTGAGTTGTATAAGTTCATTATATATTTTGGATATTGGCCCCTTATCAGGGGCGTTGTTTGCAAAAATCTTCTCCCATTCAGTTGATTGCCTCTTTATTTAGTCGATGGTTTCTTTTGCTGTGCAGAAGCTTTTTATTTTGATATAGTCCCATTCATTTATTTCAGCTTTTACTTCCCTTGCCTTTGAGATCAAATTCATAAAATCCTCTTTGAACCCAAGGTCCATAAGTTTAGTACCTATGTTTTCTTCTATTCAGTTTACGTTTCAGGTTTTTTTTTAAAAAAAAGATTTTTTTTTATTGGGGAATTGCGGGGATGGGAACAGTGCTGGGGAATTGGGGGAAGGGGAACAGACAAGTTGCTGTCATTTCGTTCTTCAGTCTAGTTGTGGACGACGTTGCTTCACTGGCCCAAGTTGGCACCATCATTGTGCTCTTCCCGGGTGAGGCACATCAGTTGCCGGCTTCTGGACGGCCGCTCACTGCGGCTACTGGCTGCTCACGCTGGCTGCTGGCTATACACGGTAGCCCATGGCAACCCACTGCCACAGGGGCTGCAGCCTACACCATCGCCGGCGACTCACAGCAGCCCAGCTTCAGGTTGAGCTGTTGTTCAGCATCTTAGCTGTGGAGGGCAGTGTCACTGGCCCTCATATGTGGGATCTGAACCAGGGCCCTCTGGCGTTCCAAGCCAGTTCTTAACCATCGCGCCACTCGGCTGCCCGTTTCAGGTCTTATATTTAGGTCTTTGATCATTTTGAGTTAATTTTGGTACATGGTGACAGACAGCAGTCTAGTTTCATTCTTTTGCGTATAGCTTTCCAATTCTCCCAGCACCATTTATTGAAGAGGCTTTCTTTTCTCCACTGTACATTTTTGGCTCCTTTGTTGAAAATTACCTGTCCATATTTATGTGGGTTTATTTCTGGGTTTTGAATTCTATTCCACTGGTCTGTGTGTCTGTTTTTCTGCCAATACCATACTGTTTTGATTCTTGTTGTTCTGTAGTACAAGCTGAAATCAGGGAGTGTGATACCTCCAGCATTATTCCTTTTTTCTAGGATTGCTTTGGCTATTCAAGGTCTTTTATGGTTCCATACAAAGCTGATGACTTTTTGTTATATTTCTTTTAAAAATGCCATTGGGACCAGCCGAATGGCTCGTTGGTTAAGAGTTGGCTTGGGAGCGCAAGCTCTGAGCAGCAGGGCCACCGGTTCAGATCCCACATGGGCCAGTGACGCTCCACCCTCTACAGCTAAGATGGTGAACAACGGCTCCACCTGGAGCTGGGCTGCCTTGAGTGGACTGCAGTGGGCTGCCATAAACTACTGTGAGTGGCTGGCAGCCTGCGTGAGCAGCCAGCCGTCAGCGAGAGCTGCTGTCAGCCGCCGTGAGTGGCCATCCATTGACGGCAACCAATCTGCCTCAGCCAGGAAGAGCGCAATGATCACAATACCAACATGGGCCAGTGAAGCAACGTCTTCCACAACTAGACTGAAGAACCAAAGGACAGCAACTTGTCTGTTCCCCTTCCCTGATTTCCCAAAGTTGTTTCCTCCCCTAATTCCCCAATTTAAAAAATAAATTAATTAAAATGCCACTGGGATTTTGATGGGGATTGCATTAAATCTGTATATTGCTTTAGTTAATATGGCCATTTTAACTAGGTTGATTCTTCCAATCCATAAGCACAGAATGTCTTTCCATTTCTTTGTGTCTTCTTCATTTCTTTTAAAAAGTGTCTTATAGTTTTCAGTGTATACGTCTTTCACATCCTTGGTTAAGTTTATGCCAAGGTATTTTATTCTTTTTGTTGCAATTGCAAAAGGAATTGCTTTTGTTTTTGCTTTTTTGCTTTTTCTGAGATTTCATTGTTAGTATAGAGGAATGCAATGGATTTTTGTGTGTTAATTTTGTAGCTGGCAACTTTACTGTATTCGTTCATGGTTTCTAATAGCTTTGTGGTGGAGTCTTTAGGGTTTTCTATATATAGCATCATGTTATCTGCAAAAAGTGACAATTTAACTTTTTCATTCCCCATTCAGATGCCTTTTATTTCTTTCTCTTGCCTGATTGCTCTGACTAGGACTTCTAACACCGTTTGTTTGTTTGTTTGTTTGTTTGTTTGTTTGTTTGTTTGTTTGTTTGTTTTTTAAGAGATTATTTTAATTTTATTATTTATTTATTTATTTATTTATTTTATTGGAGAACAGTGTGTTTTTCCAGGACCCATCAACTCCAAGGCAAGTAGTTGTTTCAATTTAGTTGTGGAGGGTGCAGCTCAGTGGCCCATGTGGGGATCGAACTGGCAATCTTGGTGTTATGAGCGCTGCACTCTAACCAACTGAGTTAACTGGCTGCCTCCCAACACTGTTGAAAAGCAGTGGTAATAGGGGACAGCCCTGTCTTGTTCCTGAACATAAAGTGAAGGGCTTCAGTTTTTCACTATTAATTATGATATTAGCTGATGATAATCTAATGAACTTTCCTTTGTAGGTTACCATCTCCTTTTCCCTGACTGCCTTGAGAATTCTTTCTTTGTCATTAATTTTTGACAGCTTCAATACAATGTGCCTTGGAAAAGGCCTGTTGGGATTGAGGTAACTAAGTGTTCTATTTGCTTCTTGGATTCAAGCATGCAGTTCTTTCCACAAGTTTGGAAAGTTCTAATCGACTATTTGTTTCAATATGCTCTCTGTTCCCTTCTTCCTTTCTTCTCCTTCAGTATGCCCATTATTCTTATACTGCTCTTTCTGATGGAGTCAGGAAGTTCTTGTAGGGTTCTTTCATTTGTTTTAACTCTCCTGTCTCTTCTTCCATCTGTGTCATTTCCAGATTTCTATCTTCGATGTCACTAATTCTTTCCTCCATCTGGTCAGCTCTGTTACCTAAGCTGGCTATTTCATTTATTTCTTTTATTGAGTTCACCTCCAGAATTTTTTTACTTTCAATCTCTTTGGTAAAATACTCATTTTGTTCTTTGATTGTGTTTCTGATTTCATTAAACTGCCTATCTGTGTTTTCTTGCATCTCATTGATTTTTTTCAGTACTGCAATTTTGAATTCTCTGTCATTTAATTCACATATTTCCATGTCTTTTTCATTTTCTGGAGACTTTTAAGTTTCTCAGCTGCCTTGTTACCTTGGTTATTCATGGCAATTAATGAATTATTGTTTCTCTTCCTGGGTATCTACAGGAGTGGGTTCCGCAGCAGGTTGATATAAAGAGGTCTTTCTTTTGCTTTCCAGTAGGTGTTGGTGGAATGTTTTATTTTCTCTCCTGCTGCAGCCTTTTATTCTCTCTCACACTGCATCATATTTTCTCCTGCACTGTTCTGCCTTCTCACGCAATGAGGGGAGGTGGGGGGTAGGATTTCCCTGGAAGGTGGGCTTCTCCTCTGTGAGCATGTTGCCTGGATCTCAGGGTACTGCCTCCAGTGAAGGGCAATAGAATTCTGAGCTTCTGAAGTCCCAATGCTCCCCCTGAAGCCCAATGCAGAACCTATTTGTCTCAGCGCCCTGTTTGCTCCTGCAGCGATCTGCCCATAAAGATGGGGGTAGGGTGGGCTGTGAGAGGTGACTCTGAGCAGTGGTGTCTACCAGCCCACAGTTGTCTTGTCCCTACAGTTTTTCCCTTTCGCTGGAATTAGTTGCTCTGTGAGTCTGTGGCCGTGGGGCTGCAGTTCTCAGGGTTGTAGATATTCTGTTCTTTAATCTCACAGTGCTACCGTTTCTTCTGGAGTCTGCTTCTAACCCTGGGAGGGTCGGGGTGGGGCAAGCTCTGGGAGGGTGGGGGGAGGCAGCCAGGCTCTGTGTCTTTGTTTTTTGCCTGGCAGTGAGGGCTTAAGCCACCGTTCTCACCCTTCTGTATTCAGTCTTTGCTCCAAGGTTTCTGCTGCGAGCACTGGGTTCAACAGTAGTATATGATGGTCCCTCAGGCAGGACTGTGGGCATAGGGGGTGCACTCGCAGTCTGGATTCTGCCCTCTCCCACAACGGCTCCAGTTTGCAGTGAGCTCTGGTCTGCGTCCTGCAGCCAGTGTCTCTGCACTTCCCCTCTCCCTCATCCCCCGCCCGCCCAATTTGCCCACCTCCAGGTGATTAGATTTGCTGATTCCTGGGGAGATTTCAAGAAGCGCTCCTCACACCACCATTTCTGTGACATAATCCCCATGACTACTTCATAACTATCAATTTGTATTTCTTAATCCCTTCACCTTTTCACCTTGCCCCCAGCCTCCTTCCATCTATCCCCCCAATAGATCTAGTATCCAACTGACACCATACATTGTTATTACCATATTCCTTATGCTAGATCCTACATCCCCATGACTACTTTGTAACAACCAAGTTGTACTTCTTAATCCCTTCCCCTTTTTCACCCACACCCAATCCCACTCCCATCTGGCCACCATCAAAATGTTCTCTGTTCTATGAGTTTGTTTCTGTTTCATTTATTTATTTTGTTCTTTAGATTCCACTTATAAGTGAAATCATATGACATTTGTCTTTTGCTATCTGATTTACTATACTCAGCACAATACCCTCTAGGTGGTATTGACCCAGTTGAGTTGAAAACTTATGTCCCCAACTAAAACCTATATGCAAATGTTTACAGCAGTTTTATTTATAAGCATCAAAAACTGGAAGCAATCAAGATGTCCTTTAACAGGTGGAAGGATACAAATATATGGTGATGGAAGGAGAACTGACTCTGGGTGGTGAACACACAATGTGATATATACATGATGTATTACAGAATTGTACACCTGAAACCTATGTAACTTTACTAACAATTGTCACCCCAATGAACTTTAATAATAAGAAGAAAAAACAGGTGGAAGGATAAACAAACTTTGGTACACCGTACAATGGAATAGTATTCAGTGAATTTTAAATGAACTATTAAGTCATGAAAAGACATGGAGGACCCTTAAATGCATATTGCTCAGTAAAATAAGCCAGTGTAAAATTACTACCTACTGTGTGATTCTAATGATAAGGCATTCTGGAAAAGGCAAAACTATAGAGACAGTAAACATTTATATGGTTACCAAGAGTTTGGAAAGGAGGAATAAGCAAAGGAAATTTTGGGACCACTAAAGCTCTTCTGTGTGATACAGTAATCATGGATACGCGACACTATGTGTTTGTCAATAATCCGTAGGACTTTACATATTTATTGTGTGCAAATTTCTAAAATTCATTTAGGAGGTCAGGGGACTCCATGAAAGAATGAAGACTGTGATGATAGAATCTAACTGTATTACAAGTGTAAGAGGGTGGGGGGTGAGGTGATGACCTAGTAACTTTGGAAATGGAGTCTATAAAAAAAATAAAAGAAACTGTGCATAAGCTCTGTATTCTAGTTTATAAAGTTGTTCCCCATGGTGGTTGGTATGAGTTTCTAATTCTGATACTGTTATACGTGCTACTTGGAATTGAATAATGAAGTAAATGTACTGGGCAGATGGTGAGAATCGGATTTGTCACTATTGGAGTGGTCATTTAAAGAAACCAAGGGGTGTAGGCTAGAATGATGCATGTGATAATGGATTAGAGTTGGAGACATCAGTAAAAACTGACGTTTAACTTATTATAGATACAGATAGTTACATGTAGAAATATTTATAAATATATGTATACACACAGGTTAGTACACACACAATTTTTTTTTCACTCTGTCAGCTGAGAAGGCCTAAAAGAAATGATACCCATATAGCAATGAGCATACCTAGTGTCCAGATCTTGGTTTTGAATACCATTCTTCAATAACAGAAACCATGGCTCCTCAGACCCCAAAAAATAACCTCTCAGACTTTTCTGATAACTTAGGACACATCTTGTTGTTAATGGGTAAAGCACCGAAGCTCACAGATAGTTCAAAGCTATGGCAGCTTGATGCTGGGATGCTAAGTGCAGTTCCTGGGAAGGAGCCTGGCGGGCCACTCTTGCTGCTCAAGGTGCATGCTGTCTCTATAACAGTTTGCTGCAAAACAAACACTAAGTGCTATTCTTGCTTTTTGCTTTTGTTTGTAAAAGTGAAAATCTTCTTCAGAGTTACTTCAGTTAACAAAAACAGGTACTAATTTAGTCTTTCACTTTTATAAAAGTGAAGATGCATAATGCAAACTTTGAAAAGTGGGGGATACCTATATTTTGTTATGGCAGCCCAAGGAGACTAACACAATACTCCACCCTAAAGGACAGGGAGCATAATTCCTCAATATTTGATTGTGGGCTGCACATAGCAATTTCCCTCCAAAGAGTACAGTAAGAAAAGGGGGGAGTGGGGTGGAAAATAACATTATACTGGAGAAATATGACAAACATTACCTCAGCCAAGTGATCAAAGTCAACATCAATTATCAAAAATCATGTTGATAGTGTATAATGTGATGAAAATGGTACTTCATGCCTGTGATTTTCCTCTCAAAAACAATAACTCCAGTCTAATCATTAGGAAAATATCAGATAATTTCCAGTAGGGGGGCATCCTATAATATGCCTAGCCAATATTCCTCAAAACTGTCAAAGTTATCAAAAACAAAAAACATCTCGGGCCGACTGAGTGGCGTTGGTTAAGAACTGGCTTGGGACGCCAGCTCTGAGCATCAGGGCCCAGGTTTGGATGCCACATTAGTGCCAGTGATGCTGGGCCCTCTACAGCTAAGATAGTGAACAATAGCTCGACCTGGAGCTGAGCTGCCGTGAGTCACCGGCGAGGGCGTAGGCTGCAGCCCCTGGTGCAGTGGGCTGTCGTAAGCTACCGTGTGTGGCCGGCAGCTGGTGTGAGCTGCCAAGAGCCGCCGTGAGCGGCTGTCCCCTCGGGGCCGGCGACTGATCTGCCTCACCCGGGAAGAGCGCAATGAAAATACCAACATGGGCCAGTGAAGCCGCGTCCTCCACAATTAGACTGAAGAACAAAAGGACAGCAACTTGTCTGTTCCCCTTCCCCAAGTCCTCAATGCTGTTCCCCTCACCCAATTCCCCAATAAAATCTTTAAAAAAAACAAAAACAAAACAAGAAACATCTGAGAAACTATCACAGCCAAGGGGAGCCTAAAGAGACATGAAAACTAAATGTAATGAGGTATTGGATAGGCGATGAAAAAAAACACCAAAACATTAGGTAAAAACTAAAGAAATATGAATCAACTGTGAACTTTAATTAATGATAGTATATTAATACTGGTTCATTAGTTGTAATGAATGTACCTTGCTAATGTAAGATGTTAATAATTGGGGAAACTGTGCACAGGGGAGGGGAGTGACATGGGAACTCTGTACTATCTGCTCAATTTTGTATAACTATAAAACTGTTCTTTAAAAATTGTCTATTTTTCTAACTAAATAATTCACATCCATATTTATATTATAAATTATCTTTATATCATCATCATCATCTTCATCAAACAAAACTAAAACTTTCTCTTCTAACATCTTCAACCCTAGTCTCTACAGGTAAAACCCTGTAAGAGTATTTTATGTATTCTCCCAGGAATGTTTTCTGAATATACAATGTTTTTTTAAAACACAAATAGATTAGTTCTCTCTTGAGAGAGTAAGTTTTAACAGATACGTGAGAAAAAGAACAAGTGTGCACAAAAAGTTCAGAAAGAAGTGAAGGCTGAAGAAATCCAAAAGCAATGTAACCTTTTTCACAGTTAAGACTATTTCCTTGCACAGATAAATTAAAGATATTCACATAAGAATTTTAGATCCTATATATTTGTATACTTAAAGCTTAAAATGATCATGAGACTCAATTTAGCATGATCTACCTGTGAATTTTTTCAGAAATATTAATTGGAGATCCTCACATGGTAGTCAACAACTGAATTATAGGAACATTAATTTTTACCTTCCATGGTCAAATTTTCTTTCATACATTCCAAAGCCGTGTGAGTGAATTCTTTTACAATCTTTTTTTCTTTAAGAAGCTGAGAATATTTTTGAAAGAAAACTGAAAAAGAGAATAAGACCATTCATTTTCCTGGCAGTGTTATACCTTTGCTCTTTATTGTTCCTATTCTTTATAGAAACAAAACCTACAAATGCCCAATTGTGCAGAAGGATCCTGACTGGTGAAAGATTTCCCATCACCCCTACTCAATGTTATCTTAAACTTACTGATTTTGAAACCATAGATTTCTCCAGAAACAGCTGAAAGGTCAGTAGTTGAAAGAGGACATAACAGCTCTATTACACTAGGTCTAAAGGGACTTATCCATATTCTCCTTCAATGCTAAATGTATGATGCATGCAAAGGCTGAGCCTTGGGGAAAGAGAATAGAGAGAAAAATGGCTTCTGCTTCCACACCTCCAGTAAAACCACGCTTGCAATGGTCATCAGTAATATCCTAGGGCCCCTTTAGTTTGCTTCCTCTTTTATTTCCCAGTTCTCTTTCCCCTCAACTCCTGGTTTCAGCCATGATTCAGTTGATTGCCACATCACAAAATCATGAGCTAAATAAATAGTTGCTGTATTCATCTACTAAGTTTTTTATTGGTTTATTAAGCATTAGAAGATAACTGATACAGTAACTGTCAGGGAAAAAAATTCACTCTTTAGAATTGTACACACTTCATGATTTGAGGCCTGCTTATCTCTCCCATCTACAACTTCATTCCTCACAGTTCACTTAGCACCCTATGTTACAGTCATTTATGCTTGGGTTTCCCAATATTTTTCCATGCTCTCTCACATCTCTATATCATTTTTTGGTACACACAGCCCAAGATGTCACTTCCTTCAAGAAGTCTATCTTGGCCTTCTGTGCTTCTTACCTATACAACACTTTGTGTGCAATGTTGTAACCACTGGTTCATGTGACCAGTTACCACCATTCTCTGATCTTTTTGAGCCTAAGGGCTCTGTCTAGATTCTGTCTGGCATAAAGTATCTGACATAAAGCAGACAGCCATCATTGCTTATTGAATGACCAAATGAATGAATAAAACATCTACCCAAATATATCTACTAGTTTTTATGCTTATTAACAATTTGATAAATTCTTAAGGCCAAAGATACACAGAAATCCACCTATTTGCCAATCTGGCTTTTAGCTCTCACAAGTCTTGGGCAGGACAGAAATAATTAAGGTAAAAATTCAATGGGAAATTCCTCCTGGAATATTTCTTCCCATCTCCTTGTCCACCTGCTCATCCTCAAATATTTGTGTATGCAAAAAAGCCTGGCCTTATAAAAACACTACTAAGGAAATCTAGATTTGTCGTCACTTACACAACCTGTCTAGTGTAGAAATGGTGCCCTATAGATTTCATTTTACAGCACAAACACATGCACACACTGATACTCTTCAATTTCTATAAAGAGAGTGGATTCCATTATTTTTATAGAAAAGTAACTAAATTCAAATAAAGAACATTTCCAATGGAGCCACACTAATTATATCACTCCCTCATACAGAGAAGACTTTTTTTTCTAGATTTCTGGATAAACCCATTGTTAAATGTCAATATCTAATGGATAAGCTCTCTTTGTGTAAAGCAGACATTCCTTATAGTTTCATTTGGATACTTACTGATGAAAGCGATAAAAAATGAGATTGTCAATAGCAGCAGAAGCATCAGCAAGGAGGCAAAAAGCACTTTGGAAAAACCAGGGTTACTTTTGTAAAGGCTGGTCTTCTCTTTGGGAGCTGAAGGAGAAATTAAACTAGTTTCATCAGTAATATATTCTGATTTTTACTTACTCTTGATCCTTCTCTTCCTCTTCTCCCTTTTCTTGGATGACATATATTATTAACAATACTACATTTGAAATAATGTAAAAATATGAAGGAAATAATGTTCATTGTAGAAACTTTGCAATATACATAAAAAGCACAAATTTCTGCCACTGAGGACAACCATTATTAATATTTTGGTATATATTATTCCAGCAATTTTTAGAGTATATACCGGGGGCGCCAAAAAATGTATACTCATGACTTGTATTCTACTTTTGTTATCAGTATATATTGAGTATTACAATTTTAATACAGTTTTTTCCTTTCTTAAATTGTGTATACTTTTCCTGGCACCCTCTGTGCCAGAAAGTGCGTGCGTGTGCATGCGTGTGTGTGTGTCTGTGTGTGTGTGTGTGTGTGTGTGTGTGTGTGTGTGT